TTCATCTTCCTTTCCTTGTGATTTGGATGGCCATCAAAGAAAGACAAACACCATTTCGGTTTAAATAACATATATAATTAGTCCAAATATTAAGTCACAGCCCTCCAGCCAGATCCCCACAAGTCATCTTTTTCTTGGAAGGAGTCCACAAGTTGTTCCAGTGTCCCATTTTCAATACAAGATTTTGATAATTGGAATCCAACCAATCCAAGGTTTCCTTTGTAAGAAGTATTTTCAAAGGTGTGGAATTTATTGCCTTGTGGAATCTCTGATAAGTTGATTATTTGAAAGATTCAAGAAAGAAAGTTTTGCCAAAGATACCAATTCTTCCATGATTTTCCCAATCAGCTTATTGAAAGAGAGATCCAACCATTCAAAATTGATCAAATTACCTAGTAATGGTGACATATAACCACCAAAGTTGTTATGGGAAAGATTAAGCCCCTTCAGAAAACAAAAGGTCCCAATAACATCTGGAATCTCTTCACAAACTGGTTATTTAAGATATCAATGCTAGTTGATACAGCCAAAATTCCCTCCATCTCAATGATAGATCCTTTCATTGTCACAAATAGAAAGGCACCTCTTGGCAAAAAATTAAATTGGATTGCCTCAAGAATCTGATTATTTAACTAGAAATTGGTAGAGAAATATATGGCATGGATATTCTCAATTGTAAATGCCCAACCAGAGTCAAGCATAGATGATACTGATCAATTTTATCTTAGTAAAAGCATTCAGAAACTGAAGAAACTTCCCAGTTCTTATATGAAACAAAAGAGACACTCATGTAAGTACAGTAAAGAAAAATTATCCTATTTCACTACCTGCTCTTCCTCCTCTATTGCTCCACTAAACTCTGCCCCATCTAACATCAGCTTCAATTCATCTTCAGTAACATAAAATTTTCACTAATATAAAGAGAAAACATGCAAAGCATTCAGAAAGCAGTCAATTCAAACTTAACATTTACAAGCAATTGTAAACAAAAAGTGAAACAGAGAAAATGGAGGATATGATTTCCTTCATTTTCTCCCTTTCAGATCAAGTAATATAAACATTCCCATTGATAAATATGTAATGATTCTTCCCACTGGATATGATATCAAGGAAAGCCAAGCCACTGGCCCGAACTAGTGTCACAGCAAACAGCATTAATCAAATAATTTTAAATTGCTAACAGTCATCAGCAAGGTAGAAAAGAGTTATATACATAGCAACATAGGCCATGGAGTTCGAAAGAGAAAGTTTCGCAGCAAAGTTTTAGTTGCCAATTCAAGAGGAAAATGGAAACTTAAATGGAAAACTTACCACAAATCTAGCAACCTCCACTGGATTGTGAACAGCTATACTTTTTGGAGTGATCTCAGTAAGAAGCAAAATAGCAACCTAGAATCATTTGGAAAAATTCAATGATTATAATTTCTTTCTTTCTTT